GCAGTGTGTTTGCGGTGGGTCACAGCGAGCCACCACCTTCCCTGCCAACCTCCTGCTGCAGCCCCAACTGCTGAAAACACCCTGTTTTTCCAGCTAAAAAATAAAATATATAAATAATCACGATTGCCCCCTCTTCTTGCACTGTGCCCCGAGCAAAGCCAGGTCCTTGTTACTGCGCGGCGCCTGCGCATGGGGAGGGAGGAGGATGGCTCTGGGCTTTTGGGAGCCCTGGTTCATTTTCCAGCCCCACATTGGAAAATGCAGCCCAGCTGCACAGCTGCCTGCTGCCCCCGCACACCGCCCCGAGCAGCACTAGCTGGGACAGAGCTCCCGAAGGCTCCTCGGCTCCTGAGCAGGCGCGTGTGCCATCAACAGTGATGATAACCCTGGGTCAGAGCTGTTCTATTGTCCGTACAAAACCCCTTTCCAGATGGATGCAGTTGCTCGTCTCCACTGCAGCATCTCTGCTGCCCTGTATTTCCCCAGGACCTTGGTGCGACCACGTTGTGAGCAATAATTTCCCACCAGACTGTCACCCGCCTTTTTGTGCCCACTCAGGTCTTCCCAAGTTCCTTGTCTCGCATCTCCGTGCCATCCTCCCAGCACACCAAGGCGACTGTCCCGCGAGCCTGGACAGTCCTCTCCGCGCCTTGGCACAGCAACGCCGACATCAGCTGCCTCGTCAGCTTTGGATCCAAAATGCATCGCTGCACGTTCACTTGTGCTAAGCTCCTCCATCTAGTTTCATACCCTCCCTGATGATGATGATGCTTTCTGAGGCATTAGCGGTGGATCCAATGCTAGTGCCATCAGCAGATTTCCTGGCATCAAATTCCTCTTGAAGATCTTTAACCCCAAACGGAGCGCTTTGATCTTTGCACCCACCCCGTGGTGTGGTGGGTCCCTCTGGCACTTGCAATAACCCCACAGCCTGCCCCAAAACAGGCCAAACACCTGCTCGGACCACCCCTACCTCCAGCTTACATTGGGAAATGCCAGGTTGAAAAACCCCAAGTTTGGCCCATGCCACACATTGTGGAAAAGCTAAAAGCAACCAAACCCAGCGTCATTCTTTGGGCAGCACAGCAAGAATGGGTCAGTCCCAGTTTTTGGGTTGAAACCGCTCCACCCACCTTTCTTACCTTGGCGTCTTCGGTGTCGGACTGGGTGCTCGTCTCATCGTACAGGTCAGACTCCTCCGAGGCAATGGGCACTTGCACCGTCAGGTTGGGGTTGTTAATGAAATTCATGTGGTCCAGTTCATCCATAAAAAAATGCTCTTTGCCAGCAACTCCATCCAGGTACTCTGACTTGGGCTCCTGGCCAGTGTCCACATGGTTTAACACAGAGTTGTCCCTCTTACTGGGCTCTTGCTCTTCCTCTGGGGCCACCTTCTTCCCCTTCCACAGCCTGCGGAGCAGCATGAGGACAGAGGACTTTACAAAGTCGATCCCCTTGGTGATCCTGCCAATAGCAATCTGCAGATTGTTCATCTCTCCATCATCATCAGATGCCGCCAGGCTATCGGCGCTGAAGGAGCTCAGCAGCAAAGCTAAGAACAGGTTCAGCACCTGGAGGGGACAAAAGCAAATACCAGCACTGACGTCTGGCACTGACAGTGTCCCCACAGGCTGGAGCAGTGAGGACCAGTCATGTCTGTGGAGAAGACCCTTATGTTGAACGTGTCATGGGGCTCCCTCCTCCCATTGCCCAGCTGTAGGGACTGCAGAGATGCTAACCCCATCTCCTGGAGGACATGGACGTGGTCACGGTCCAGCTCCTCCTTGCTCCTCCCTGGGCTCCGATGCCCTCAGTGACACCCCCAGCTGCTTGGGTCCTGCTGGTCCATTTGCAAGCGATGGCAGTCATGCCTCTCAAACCACCTCCCCTGTGGGTCCACCAGCACGTCCCTCCCTTCGCTCTCTTGGAGCTCTTGGCCTGGCTGGTCCCCACGTGGGACTCTCCAGGCCTGTGCTGCTTCCCCCCAGCACCCACAGGGATGCAGCTCAGCTCTGTCCCTTCTCTTCCCGGGGATAAACCTGCTTATTGTCCTCCCGGCTGCAACTCTTCCTCTCTGCTGGCTCTGGTAGCTCAGATGCCCAGTGAGCTCCTGAAGGTGTCCAACACCCTGGAGCCGTGTAGGAGCCTGAGCCACAGCTGTAACCTCATCGCTTTCTACCAGAGATCGCCCTGCTCCACGGAAAGGGTTGTGTCATCTCAGCACAAGTCAGCTCATGGGATGCAAAGGCAGTGCTTTGTATAGCTCCAAACACAGGTTCTCTCCTGTTTCCCCCAGACCTCTCCTACTTCATCATGCCCAAAACGTGACTGGACCCTACCGCAGCCTTGCCTGGCACGGGTGGACCTGCTGCATGCCAGAAACCCGGAGCGGCTCACGAGAAGAGGAGCGAGACGGGCTCTTCCCAGGGTACGGGAGCATCGGCAGCACCCAGACATGCTCTTGCAGTGCAGAGCGGCCGATGGGCCAAGCCCACAGCTGTTGGTGTTTGTGCCTTTTTGTGCCAGCAACGTATCTGAGAAGGGAATTAGCTGCTATTCAAGGTCACTGCTGTTTTCACATGGCTCATACCATATGACTTAAATCGCATCTTTAAATAAATCCCTGCTATCCCATCAGTTTAATACTTACGTTAAGTACAATTACAGCTAATAGTTGCTGTTGGCTCCGGCTTTTTTGGATAGGACTCCATTACCTTGTCACCCGACCAACTTCCTCCCTTTTCCCTTAATAACCACAAAGGAAATGCTCAAAGTGTCATTAACAGTAAAGGACGACCAACCGTCGCCTTATTCCTCTGCAGGGGAAGTGGGGAGAAACACACACCTCCTGCAGCCGGGATGCTTGGGAGGCTGCGCAGGGCAGGCTCCAGGACTCGGAAATACCTGAGACACGGCCAGGAGAGCCTGGCAGAGAGGATGAAGAGGGCAGAGGTGGCTCTGTAGGTGGTCGTGCAGCGCGTTTCTCTACTGAGCTTTAACGAACCCCGTGCAGCAGCACCGAGCACAGCAGGAACTGCGAAGCTTGTCCTGAAGGCTGGGGTGCAATATCAGGGAGGGCTACACCTCTGGAAGGGCTGCCCCCATGTCTGGTCCAGGAGAGTCTTCTGGAGGGATAGATGGGTTGTCCTACTCCAAAAACTGGCCCCAGAAGAGGAAAGGTTTCCAGACCCTCTTTTGGGGAGGGTCTCCAGGGAGACCCAGCTGCGATTCTCACTCTCTAAGCTCCTGTGCTCGCTGCAGACTGTCCTGGAGATGCTGCCGCTGCTTATGGGTGATTTTCAGCCTGGTTCAGCACAGCAGTTCAAAGGAACGCGTCCCCCCTTGAAAAGTAGCGTTACAAGCTGCTGCTGTCTGCTGGGTGACGGGCAGCCCCGGGGGGCTGACGGCGTCAGATTCGATGACTGACACAGGTCTGCCCAGCACCACCCAGCACAGACCCCAGGACACCCCAGGGCGAGCTCTGCAGCCAGCACAGCTCTCCGTGCTGCTATGGGGGCCAGTTCAAAGCCCCAAATACCTGGCACGAGCCAGGGAAGCCGAGCAGCACCCAAATCCCAATTTTCTGCCCTCGAAGTGGGACGCTCCAAGCTGCCCTACCCCTGACCTGAGCCGTGGGGTGGTCTAGGCTCCCCCCAGGACTGCATTCACCCCCCTTGGAGGGCTGTGCCAACCCGAGGCTGGAGCAGCCCCCCGCCATGGGGAGGGAGGCGCTCCCTCGGCAGATAGTTTTTCAAAGCAAATTCCAAAGGGCTTACACAACCCCGGCAAGTAATAGGAGCGATTCGGCAAGCCGCCGCGCTTCCCTCCCCTGCCTTGCTCCTTAAGAAGGGAGAGCAGGGCCCACGCCGGCTGGAAAACAAGCTTCAAAGCTGCCAGCGCGAGGGTTACCAAGTTTAGAAAGGATTTCATGCTCGCCTGGAACTTGCAGACCTGCAGCGCGGTCAGCGAGCAGCTTGGGTTAGCGGGGAGGGCAATGAGCAGGGAGGGAGGGCGATGGTGACCAGGGGTTCACCGGGACCCGGGGGAAGCCGCTGCGGAGGGGTCGCGCATCTCCAGAATGTCACCTGGGCCGCAGTGGGCACTGGGGATGCTGGGGATCTGCAAAAGCCCTCTGGGGGGTCTGGTCCTAAAAGCACCCGGGAGCAAAGGGCCAGCCCTCGGGTGAGGTGCATACAACACTCTCTCTATCTCTCATTCCAGGAGAGTGGGAAATGGGGGAGGAAAGCCTGAAAAGCCACGTGGAGAAGAAAGGGCAGCTTGAAGATGAGCTCTCTTTTGTCCCAGAGTTGCTCCTGCATCTGCCTAAAACCTGTTGTTAAGTTTTCCATCCCTTGGTTTCCCTTTCTGTTCCTGATCTGGTTTCAGCTGAAGGTCCCTCAGAAACTGCTTCTCACCCTGCTTTACTCAGAGCTGAGCACACGGCACAAGCCCACCGGCTCTGCAGGAGTGAAGTTGAGCCCTTTGCCTGTGCTCCCATACAGCTCCAACAAGACTGTGCCTACAGGCATAGCCATGTAGATGAGCCGAGCTGGACAGCATTGACCAGAGAGCGAGGGACAGAGATGTCCCCACCCCATGACACTTTCTGTCCTTGGCCCACTTTCATCGAGGGTCCACCCCAGCTCCAAGACTCACCACGAGGTTCCCGATGACCATGACCATCATGAAGACGATGAGGCACATTGTCTGACCGGCCACCTCCATGCAGTCCCACATGGTCTCGATCCACTCCCCACAGAGGATGCGGAAGACGATGAGGAAGGAGTGGAAGAAGTCGTGCATGTGCCAACGGGGCAGCGTGCAGTCGAGGGAGATCTTGCACACACACTCCATGTAGCTCTTCCCGAAGAGCTGCATCCCCACCACGGCGAAGATGAAGACGATGATGGCCAGCACCAGCGTGAGGTTCCCCAGGGCACCCACTGAGTTGCCGATGATCTTGATGAGCATGTTGAGGGTGGGCCAGGACTTGGCGAGCTTGAAAACCCTCAGCTATGAGGAGCAAGGAAACAAGGCACTGGTTTGCCTGGGGCTTTCATTGCCACAAGGTGTCAGCAAGGCTGCGAAGCTGGGATTAAACATTCATGTGCCAGTTTTATTAAAGCAGAAGGGATTAAACACCCAACTGCTCTGCAAAGAGCACAGGCTCTCACTTTCCTAAATATTTAGCTCGACCGTCAGTGTCATCTTTAACAGGGGACAAGTTGGTGACCACCACAAAGGAGGCTGAACAAGCCATTCTCCACCCCGGTGGCAATTGCATCTAAAAACCCCTGGCACAGCCTGTTCCCATGGCACGTACCAAGCGGAAGGAGCGGAGCACGGAGAGCCCTTGCACGTTGGCCAGGCCCAGCTCCACCAGGCTCAGGGTGACGATGATGCTGTCAAAGATGTTCCAGCCCTGCTGGAAATACTCGTAGGGGTCCAGAGCAATGAGCTTCAGGACCATCTCCGCCGTGAAGATCCCCGTAAAGACCTGTGGGAAACAGCACCCTGTCACTTTGCTTGTAAGCCAGTGCTGAGCCTTGGTGTGGGTCAGTAGCATCTCTCTTTTTTTTGGTGTATTCCCAAAGCTTTTCATCCCATTAGGATGTCCCAGTTGGGAACAAGCTCCCCAGCTGCTGCCCAGTGTGGCTTGTGAAGCCAGGCTGGGAGTACTGGTGACTGATTGCTTCTGGAGAGACACAAAGGTGCATGTTGGCAGGTGGAAATTAAAAATAAAAGTTTCGTCGGCAAAAGGACCCCCTTTGAACGACACAGAGCTCCCCAGCACTGGGAACTGGGCTGCTACTGGGGTGCCCCTGCCCCTCCCCGAGCCCTGTGAAAGCTGATGCAGCTTTTACACATTGCTCTTTTCCTGGGATTACAACGGTGCTATGCACTATCACATTACTCCGGAGCGGGATCAGCAACGTGACAATTAGCATCCTTGACGCAATTTCGTGGCGCGGCGTGTGCGGGGGGGGCCCGGTGGCAGGTTTTGCCCTGGACGTGGCTCGTGCTGGTCCATGCCTCCACCGTGCAGGAGGAGAGGCTGCAGGAAGGCTTCCGCAGCAGCATCCCAGGGGATGCTCCCTGACGTGCCCCATTCCACAGACGTCCCCGTTCCTGCTGTGCCGGCTGATCCCTGCTCTTCTCATTTACAGCCTGGCCATCCAACCTGGAGCTTTCATCTCCGGCACAGGCAGGTGATGTGGGGGGAGACCGTGGTTCAGGGGGAGCCGCTTCTCTGGCTCCCACCCCTCCCTCCCCTGCCCCAGCGAATGCCCCTGGCCCCACCGGCATTGGGGTCTGCATGCAGCCAGAAACCACCGCTGGCTCGAAGGGAAAGGAGCTGGAGCTCCTGGAAAAAGGCTGGAGCTGTCTTTGCAGCACAACCGCGCTTCGAGCAACAGCCGATTAACCCCCTTGTGTTTCCTGAATGAAAGCAGAGAGAAAGCAGCTGTGTGCTGAGCACCATCCTGCCCACCCGCGCACGTGTCGCTCCACGCGCTGCAGTGCGCAGAGGGGCTCAGGCAGGTGCTGGAGCAGGGCAAGGTGGCAGGAGAGGAGACGGTGAGCTCTCCCATCCCTTAGCTGCGTTTCCCAGAGCTACCAGGGCCTCCTGGACTTGTCCCGCCAGCAGGACCATCCAGCTGAAAGCCATCCACCCTGAGCTCTGAGCAGGAGCAGCCACAGCTGGTTGCTAAATACACCCATGAAACCAGAACAGCACAAATTTGCACTGATTTCACTGGGAAAAAGTTGTTGTTGTTGTTATTATTATTATCTGCTGCTAGTACGGTTGCCTCCTGCTCCATGGAGACCTGTTTGCTCCCAGCATCTGAACTGGCCCCTGCTCTGCCACAGGGCCACCCAGCATCGTGAGGACACCGTGGTGTCAGCCAGGGCTGGCAGCAGCTTGTGCCTGACGCCGGGTTGCAATGTAGAAGATGGCCCAGGACAGCCCTGCAAGGCTCTGGCCGCGTTGGCATCATCGAGATGCACCAGGCGAGACAGAAGCTGCAGCAGAAGGGGAGCAAGGGATGATGGATCCCACCCCCATATCAACTCCCTTCATCTGAGCCATCCTGGAGCCCGACCCATCACAGGGGTGCTGTGATCAGACACCCCGCAGCACTTTCTCAGCAGCTGGGAGGTGTCTCCAGGCATGCATGCATGCTGTTCAGGTGACACAATGGCAGCAGAGGGGATCTGTTCACCAGGGTGGCTGGTGTGGCTGCTAAACGGGGAAGGGTGGGATGCCCGGAGCAGCTTACCAGGTTGCCCACGGTCAGCACGTTCTCAAACTCCTCTGTCATGGGGTAATGCTCCATGGCCATGAAGACTGTGTTAAGCACAATGCAGATGGTGATACCCAGGTCCACGAAGGGGTCCATCACCACCAACTTGACAAACTCCTTCAGCTTCAGCCACAGAGGACAGCAGTTCCAGACCAGGAACGTGTGGGCAAATTTGTACCACCAGGATGGGCACTTCTGGTGGGCTTCCTCCAGCTCTGAGGGCAGGAAGGGAAAATTACATCAGTGTAGGCTTCTCCTGTCCTCCCCTGGGTAGACAAAATGCTAACCCCCTAGAAGAGACCTCTCCTGAGGTCCTGAACCCAGCCCTAGACCATCTGCGAGTTCAATATGGGGGCTAAGAGGAGGAGCCTTCCCATTCCCCCAGCACAATGATGTTTTCCATCCCTTTCCAGCCCTCCAAACCAGAGAGGGACGGGAAGGCAGATCAGTCAGAGAACTGTGGCTCCAATCCTGCTCTCAGCACCCAGGCAGGATGTGAGATGTCCCTGCCACGCTGAGATTGCAGGGACACCCAAGAGAACTGCTCCAGTGTGGCTGGAGGGCTTGGTGCCCATTCCCAGGGAGGGCAGGGCTGAGAAGCCTGTTATTGCTGAGTCTACGGTACTTTGTGCTGAAGTTGGGACAGCAGCTCTTGGGAAGCCACTCACCAGCTCTCGGTTGACTCTGGAGACCCCTGTAATCATTTGCCATCCCGTTCATTTGCATGAGATGTTGTGCTATTGCCTCTGAGCATCATCCTAGCGAGTTGGGATGAAAAGCCTTGCTTGAGCGTCACTGACCGCATACGGAGACCCCAAGTCCGGAGTCAACCCTTGCATGGGGCTGGAGATTTGGGACAGCCGCTATCACTGGTGTGTGCTGAGCACCCCAAGCCCACCAACACACAACCCTTGGGATGAAACAGCCGGCACACACAGCCCTCAGCCAAGCTGGAGAAGGACGTACCTTCCACAGCGTTGGAGATGACACTGATGGCGCTCCCCACTCTCTTCTCGAGGCCTGGCCCATCTTGGTTGCCCACAGTGAGGTGATTGTGGTCCGATTTCTCCGGCTCATCGGTTGGGTTGAACTAGAAGGAGAAGAGGCCACAGGGAATAAACGCAGAGCACTGCAGGCTATTCAGTGCACTTAAAGACACAACATGCAGAAAAAAGGGCATGGTCTGGAGAGACCGTGGAGTGCGACATGGGAACTACAGGTGGGCTGCAGAAAGGCTTGTAGGACCCAACCCTGTTCAAAAAACATGTAGACATGGCACTTTGGGACATGGTTTAGTGGGCATCGTGGTGTTGGGTTGACGGTTGGACTTGATGATCTTAAAGGTCTTTTCTAACCTTAATGATTCTGTGACCCACAACAAGCTGGGCACAATCCTGTCCCTCCAGTGGGGTTTATTGGGGTGGACACCCTCATGGGACGGCAGAGACAGAGCCGAGCACGTACGTCAACCAGCGTAGCGGATCGCTCCAGCACGACCTTGGGGACCACTTGCCCGTTGCAGTCCTTTGCCTTGTCCTGGTCACCGCTCAGGTCCGAGTCGCGCTCCTTCTCGGCCGTGCTGCCGGGCAGGGAACCGCTGCTGGATTGCTGGTCCTGCAACTGCAACAACCCATGTCCTCATCACCCGCGTGCCCGCAGCTTCCCGCAGTTGCTGCAGGGCACCGGGCTAAGGATGGGGGCAAGCTGAGCCCCAGGACCATCCTGGGCAGGACTTTGTGACTCCAAAGTCTGCTGCTGCAGGAGATGGGCAGCAAACTCAGATCCTCATGAGCAACAAGGAGGGATAACAATTTGCAGTAGCTAAACAGAGGTTGCAAGCCTTTCCTTTTCACTTGCACACCCCACCGTATTAGACTCTCTGCAGAGCAGTATTAGATCTATTCAAATTTGGTCAGGGTGAATAATTCATAAGGACAAAGCTATGCAAACCTTCTAATTTCTGTCTTGCAGGAAACTTTAATCTCTGAAACATGCTTTCATCCCAAATGGGAAAGAAGCAAAACCTTCAAGGCTCTTGCTGAAACACAATGTCCAAGATTTTTGGACTTGCACTGAGTTTGTGAATGTTTGGGTCAAAATTTATTTTTTTTCCCCAAATGTTGTTTTATTAGGCTTTCCTTTGCACATGCAGTCATTTCTTTTTTTTTTCTTTTTTTTTTTTTTTTTCCTTTCCAACAGTGGTATTAATATTTGAAGTTTACTACACGCTCTGGCAGCACTGAGGATGCCACAGCGGACTGGGAACCTCTCTGTTCCCACTGCACATCGCTGAGATGGAACACGGTTTCCACGCTCGGTTGCTGGATATTCGAAGGATCTGAGCGCCCATTTCTTGTAGGCGCTTTGCCCTCGCTCTCAGCCTTCCTCCCTCTGCCTTCCTTTCTCTAGGTGGCAACAAAGGAGCATCGTCCCTCAATAAAGCCTTTGGGCAACTCACTGGTTAATATGCTTGGGGAAGCGGCCACAGCACCAGCTTTATGCCCTGGAGTCCCATCCCTCGGGCAGGGCTTGCCCAGACCCATCCTGCAAACAGCAGCAGCCACATAAGAGCGAGCTGCTTCCTCGGAGGATGTTGTGGCTCCGCACAGATAAGCGATGAGAGATAGAGGCTCTAGAGAGAGCAGACCACTGTTTTGCGTCTCTCTCTACGTGTGAGGAAGCTGGTCTTTTGCCCAGGCTAACAGTTAGATTTGCAAGGATGTCTCCTGCAGATGTTGCTGACATTGGCCAAAATGATGATTAGACAGAGAAAATGGCTGGGCTGCAGTATCAGACATCAGAGAAGCTTTTCCCCACATTTTTATAGCCATGTTGTGCTGAAAAGAGGCTCCCAAGGACCGGGAGGGGGCTAAGGTAAGACCTCAGGACCACAATGGAGCAAATGGGTGGAAATCAGGCAGCTTAGAGACTCCAGCTCGGAGAAATCTCGGTGCAAACGCTCTGCGGCATCAGGCATGCCTATCTGCTCCTGTGCCGGAGTACAGCAGGGAGAACAGCCCCCGAGAGCTGTGCCTCGGCTCCTGCAAGGGCACCAGGGCCTCGCGGGGCGGGACGCGGGGTCTCTTGAGCCCTCTCTTCTGTTTCCAGCCTTGTCCAAAAGCAAATGGTTTGCTAATGCATTTAGCTTTGCTGCAACTGCCCTCTTTTCCTTGAGTGCTTCTTTTGCACCCTGATCATGACCTGCCCGTGCAGGCTCTCTGCCAGCTTTCCTGCTCTTGATGTGCTGCAGGAGGATATATTGTTAGCTCTGATGCCTTTTATGCCTTGTTCCTCACCTCCTCCTTTCCAGCAATGCCGCACCTCGGTGCTGCACCTCTCTGCTGCCTCCCAGTGCTCCCTGTGCTGGTTTCTGGATGTGGAAATGAAACCTTTTCAGCCTCTTTTTTCCCCCCACCCAGGATGGCATCTCAAGTTTTTGAGTCAGCTGTGACACCCAAAATAGTTACTCAATTATTACCTTTGCTTACTATAGACCAAATGGGGCTTATTCTTGGGTTTTACATAGAGGCACCACCACACTTGTCACTGCCTCCCCTTTTCTCCCCCTATTCCTAAGGTCCCTCATTTTGGCCACCACACTCTCCACCAACCATCTTCTCTTGCTCCTCTTGATGCTTCTTCAGCTGCTCCATGAGCTGCTGAAATTCCTCCTCCTTCTGCTGCTCCTCCAGCATCGTGGCATCGTTTTGTTCTGCATAGGCCATGGCCACCACTGCAAGGATGAGGTTGATGAGGTAGAAGGAACCAAGAAATATAACCACCACGAAGAAGATCATGTATGTTTTCCCTGCTGCACGCAGCGTCTGTGGAAAGAGGTGGCACAGGTTGTCACACCACCTTGGCACGATAGCAGTTTAGTGATGCTTCCAACAAAAGGTCTTGCACCAGGGCACCCTCCCAGCTGTGGCAGGAGTACAACAGACTAGGTATAAGGAAAGAGGTTTTTACAGTGAGGGTGGTGAAACCCTGGCCCAGGTTGCCCAGAGAGGTGGTAGATGCCCCATCCCTGGAAACATCCCAGGTCAGGTTGGACGGGGCTCTGAGCAACCTGCTGTGGTTGAAGATGTCCCTGCTCACTGCAGGGGGGTTGGACTAGATGGCCTTGAAAGGTCCCTTCCAACCCAAACTATTCTATCACTTTGCTCCCATCTCCCCCAAGGGCTGGTCATTGCCCAGTTGATCTTCCTGCAGTCCATGGCACTGGGTTAGGACTCACGTGAAGCAGCCAGAAGTCTTGGCAAACCCACCCACGCTGCTCGGTGCTAGCTGGTAGTCCAAGGGCTGCAAACGGGCATGGAGATGGGACCGATATTTCATTAGAGATTCGCTTTGCTGTGACAAAGGCTGATGTCTCTCAGTCCCTAACTTGTCAGGTCTCACCCTTGGGCCAAGAGCAGTCCTTTTCTAGTGCCAAATCTGGGCATGATCCTTTCCAGAGGACATGTGTAGCCTTCAGACATAGGCTTGCTTTTATCTAAACCATCCCTGGACCCAGGGTCAGCTGGGATTTGATGTCTGTGACTTTGCCCTAAAGGATGACTCAATCCAGGGGACAAGTGATCTAGTTTCCCACCCTTACCCTCTCTCAGGCTCAAGCCAGAGAGGTACTAGATACTCCTATAAATCCCTGATTTTCAGGCTACAGCTGACAACACATCTGGGCTTTGCCCTGCTCAAGTTGGGGAGCTAGATGGGACCATGCCCCATCCTTGCTGATCCCAGTTAGATCCATAGACAAGGTCCCATGACTTTCCACTCAACTGACCTTTTCTGTGTCCTAGGCCAGGGGCAGCATCAAAACAAGAGGAGTATTTGCACAAGGATAGACATTTGCACCAAAGCCCCGTGCCCAGCCATGGGGTCCTAGGGGTACCTACCAGCTGGAAGAGGTTCTCCCAGAAGTCCTGCGTCATGAGGCGGAAGAGGGCCAGGAAAGCCCAGCTGAAGGTGTCGTAGCTGGTGTAGCCGTAGTTTGGGTTCCTCCCTGCCTTCATGCACTGGTACCCTTCAGGGCACTTCCTACCAAAGAAGCCGCGGGGGCAGCCGGTGTGAGTCCCCAGCGCTGCCCCTCCTGCACCGCAGCAAAATGCTCCATCCCTGGAGGCACTGAGATGCTTCAGCAGAACCGGCCCCCCAGGCTGACACAGTCGGATGCCCAGACCAATACCCTCCACGCCCAAGCTGATACAGTCGGAACTCCCAGCCCCAGTCCTGTCCCATCCCAAGCACCAGTGGTCCCACAGGCTGTGCTGGCTGCCTTGTCCCCTCCCACGGAGCCAGAGAGGACCCCGGCTGCCAGCGTGAGCGGCACTCACCCAGCATCGCTGCTGTTCCCGCAGAGCAGGGCATCGAGCGCTCCCTCCAGAAAGTAGAAATTGGCTTCACAGTTGGGGAAAGAGCAAGACACACACAAAAATAAACACAAACATTGATTTTCAAACTCTTGGCAGCTCTTTGCTGTCGGGGAAATTCCCTGAATCCCAGCATTGGGCACTGGGTTATCTCCGCTCTGCTGACTTTGTTATTTGCATTGAACTACTTGGCACCAGCTCAGAGACCTTGTGGCATTCTTTCACCGACCCAACTAGATGGCTCCCAAGCCCATGAAGAGCTTTGGAAACAGTCAGGTTGGCCAGGATCAGACCTCCTGGGAAGGTGGGTTAACATGTGGTTGAAGGACCAGGGCTGGTCTGTTTTGCTGGGAAAATGTATAAAGTAGCAGGGCGAAACACCGAGCATGGGGGACTGCAGGGGTCCCAAAAACGCCCGAGGAAGTGGTCTGCTACTGCTCCATGGCCATCACCTTCCCCCTGCTGCTCCCATCCCAACCAGCCCCTAGCTGGGGGGGAAACCCGCCCTGCTCACCAGACCAAGGGTCCTTAAAGTTCCTTACAGCTCGAGCACAGACCCAGAGCCACAGGAGCTGCCAAGAAGTGTCACCACAGGTCACCTGCCCCCCGGGACCCATAGATGGGCACCTGAAGACACCCACCGCAGGACATGGCAGGGGGCAGCCGGACCCCATCCCAGGCATCACCTAGCACAGCCCTTCCGGGAGCCACACAGGGATTTCTGGAGCTTCCTCAAAGCATCCCTGGCTTCTTGCCACCAGGCTTTTATTTAACCTATGTGGGCTCATCCAGGAGATATCCTGCTTGCAAAACTCCAGGCGATACGTTTTTGGCCTGGCACCAGGAGCTCTTAACCTCAACGCATGGCCGCAGGGTGCTGTTGCTATTTGCACTGCACTCATTAGATCCTCTGTATTGAATGTGCACCCCTACCAAGAAGTCTTCCTGTAATTAATGCCAGAGCCACTCGTACAGTTGGGCAAAGCAGCTCAGCCGAGACGTAACCCGACCTTCTGCTGAGCTCTGCCGAGTGCCCTAAACGAGACCCGAAACATCCCCGTGGAGCAGCCCTGTGTTGGCTGCTCCACTGTGCAGCTCTGCCAGGCAGATTTTCTGAGATTTTTACATTTTCATGGAGTTTAAAAACCCCCAAACCCCATGACTGAAAAAAACCCCAAAGAACAAAAAAAACCTCCACCGCGCATTTTTGGGCCAAACTAGTCTCCAAGACAAGTAGTAGTATACAAGTCTCCAAGACAAGCAGTAGTATGCAAGTATTACAAGTAGTAATATAGCAAACGTGGAGACCTATCTGAGGACCTGTGCTCGATCCCACCTCTCCCTCCCTCCCCTCCTGTTGGCTGTTGCGGTGTTGCATCCTTGCATGCAATGCTCACTGGACGCAGCAGTACTTGGGGAAGGACCCAGCTCTGATGCAGTGGTGAAAGTGGGTGAGAAATGTCATTCCTGCATCTGTCCCTTTGGTTTTCCACCCAAAGTCCCATCCGCTCCCGGAGGGTTTGGTCTCCCTGTTGTGACCAGCCAGAAGGAGCAGCCATTCACCAGTGCCCACCCTGATGGGGAGATTGTGCCCTCACTAGCAAGCAGGAGAGATGGAGACGCCAGACTGCATTTTCCCTGGCAAGAAGGATTTGATCCCATCTCTCCATCCTGTGAGTATGCACAGCCCCTGTTTCACCCACCAGCCTCATCTCTCCCTGTAAAGGACCTTGGCAGGAAGGTCCAAGAGAGCAAACCTTAGTCTGATATGGAGGAAGAGCAAGGAAACTAAAGAGCAAACCAAGGTGATGGGTCAATGAAGAAGGGGACGCATGAGCGTTTACCTTCATCGTTGATGTAGGCCTCGAAATCAAAGGTGCTGTTGCTGGTGAAGTTGCTGGTGAAGTTGCTGGCGAGGTCATCAGTGAAGTTGCCATAGAGTGTTGTGTTGACCAATGTGTCGTTGTCCAGCCCCAAGTCCCCCAGCGTGTCGTTGAGGGGAGGCCACCGCACGCACTTCTGCCGGAGGTTCCCCATGAAGAGCTGGAGACCAATGAGTGCGAACACGCTCAGGCAGAAGACAGTGAGGATCATGACGTCTGAGAGCTTCTTCACTGACTGGATCAGAGCCCCAACAATCGTCTTCAGCCCTAGGGGGGAGGCGTCACTACTGAGCTAATTGCTTGTTTGCTAATTGTGGAAAATGTGCTATGGTGTTCCCAAAAGGTGCTGGGTCTGCTGGGGACGTGTTATCACCAAGTTCCCCCCATGTGCTCAGACCCCCAGCTCTTAGCTCCATGTTGCATCCCAGCTGCCCCTCTGTACCCACACATTGCTGGGCAGTGTAAACCTTTTCCCAAAAATGGTCACCCTCGGACGAACGCCAGCCAAGCCTCCCCATGCCAACCTTAACCTGGGCATCATGAGCCAAAGCCCACCCCAGTTCCTTTTGGCTTTACGTTTTTCCCAAATGCCACAATCTGGCCTTTTTTGGCTGAAACCACCAGGACAGACCACTTTGCTGTGGCACATGGAAAAAGCTGTTAGCCAGCCCAGCTGGAAGGTGCTGAGGGCTGCTCTCAGCTCCAGAAAACCTCCATGGTCCAACACCCCCATGTGCTGCAGTCCCTTGGGTGGTCAGGAGCCCAGCCGGACCCTTCAGCCTGATCTCTTCAAGCTGGAGAAACCCCAACGCGTCTGAGCGAAGGTGACGAAGCAGCGTTTGCATTAAGCATCAGGATGAACTTGTCTGTCTCCCCCAGCATCGCTGTTTCCTCTGCAGAGGTGGCTCGCCTACAGATCCTTAATGGGCTTTTGATGTGGAGAATGCCACTCCCGTCACCCGAGGTCTACATGGATGATGGGTGACGCTGGGACATCCTGACATTGATCTTAAAAGCAGCTCGGAGCTTTCTCATGTGCCGGCAATTCTCTGAAGACACATGATTTTTATCCCTGTCATCATGCCAGGTTCCTGCCCCCTCCCCAAACTATTTAGGTAAAACCCTGTTCTCCAAGGGCTGGTCTATGTTGGGAAACTGCTGAGGACAGCCATTCTAAACCAGCTTATTTTTGCAACTGCTATTTCTGCAGAGCCTCTTGGGGGGATGTCTTTCCAGAAAGAAGCAGCAGCTTATGTTTTGCTAAATGCAATATTTAGCCTTTTTGATGGAGGCAAAAAAAACCATTCAACTGTGTTTTCAAACGCTAAAGACCTGGAAAATGCACGGGCACAAGAATTTATTCATTACAAGAAATTATAATTTTCAGTTCAGTCTGACACTTCTTCAAGGAGTCTGACCTATCATTTCTGTGGTACCAAAGCAGAATATTGAAATGGTATCAAATTTGGGAAAAAGCCATCAGAGGTATTTGATAACATGCTTCTAACAGCACGGCTGGATGTTTGGGGTGATGCTAAACACTCTCCACGTGCTTTGTGCACTAATACCCATTAAATATCTCAGCTCAAGCGCCAGAGCAGTCAGCAGTGAGAACAAAACTGAATTTATGGCTCCAAGACCAAGCAAAGTGTATCAGGTAATTTGGCCCATAAACATGACGTGGGCACAAGCCCACTTGAGGCATCTCCAAGGATCCTTAAAAACACCATGTCGGGCTCGTCAGGGGCTTTCCTTGGCCAACCAGCCAAGTGAGCCCAGCTAATTTAAAGATGTAAAAATCAGCGGGACCTGACTGAAAAGCTGAATTATTACACAGAAAATTATTTATAAGTATCAAACACCTTATTTCCCCTCTTGTCTCTTAGAGTTGCTAAAAGAACTAAAAAGAATTGCTTTGAACTGTAGGAAAACCTGAGCTCAGGGAAGGAGAAAATGGGGAGAGGAGACCCCTTCTTTAAGTCCCACCTGGTATCACCGTGATGGTTTTCAAGGCACGGAGGACACGGAAGGTCCTGAGAGCAGAGATGTTCCCCAGGTCCACGAACTCAGTGATGTAGCTGCAGGACAGGAGAGGAGAGGGCTTCAAGGGCTTGGCCGGGCACCCACCCCACTGCTTCTCAGCCCTCCTCCCTAGGGTTGTCCCCTCGGGGTTGTGGTGGCCAGACCTCCTGTCCTCCTCCCATCCCACCAAACTCACGCCATGGAGATGACCATGAAGTCCAGCCAATTCCACGGGTCGCGCAGGAATGTGAAGTTGTCAATGCAGAAGCCCCTTGACAGTATCTTGATGAGGGACTCAAAGGTGTATATCCCAGTGAAGGTGTATCTGAAATGGCAATGGTGACTTGGGATGCTCACCCAGGTCCCAGGACCAGCTCAGGATGAAGTCTGGGCACCAAGGGGTTTTGTCCCCCCCGACAGTGGGACCATCTGGCGAGCTGAGTTTGGGGGCTTATGGCCATGAGCTGCTGGGTTCTCGGGGTGCTTTGACACTGGGGGAGGTTTTCACCTCACCTTGTAAGGCAAGTTGGGACATCTTGAAGTACCACTCCCTTTGGTGACTATTCTGCAACACCTCTGATCCCTGCTGATGTCGCAACGCACCACACGCTCTGTAAAACCCTGCTGAGACTGACTGTGCAGAACTGCAGCAGAAAATGCTGTATTTTCCCCTTCCCACCTGGAGCTGCTTGTCCTTGGACTGGTGGATCTGCTCAGCCTCTCCAGGCCATCACTGCTGACCCAACCCAACTTGCTCTGCAGTGGTCTCTTGTCACAGGGACCCCACCAGATTTTTGGAAAACACTCCCTCTCTTTGCAATGCCTAATGCAGAGTGTGAACGTCCCTTCTGAGATTGAGAGGACCACCAGCATCTCCCAATGACACCTCTTCTTCTCCGAAAGGTGCCTGGATCCCAATACCCCTCTCTCAGCCTTGATCCTGTCCCTCCAAGGATGATGATCCCCCGTGACTGAGAAGGTCACGGGAGGCACGGACTTACTCCACGTTCTTGGACCACGCCGGGGGGTTGCTCAGTGTCATAAACACACAGTTGGTTAAAATCGTGATCATGATGAACATGCTGAATAATTTAAAACCTGGTCAAGGAGAAATGCTGTGGCTGTTGCCTAGATTTCCCCCTTTGCACAGGTACGAAGCCGAGCACCCCTACTCTTCTTGTCCTGGCTCCCACCTAGTTCCCATGCCCTGACCTCCTCCTCCCGCAGCTCTCTCCTGGCTCAGTCCCATGCTCGTGCTTCCCCCTTAGTCCCCCTGCTCTGCCTCCCCTCTGTCCCCCCGTGCTCCTTCCTCTCCATCACCCTAGGATACACCTTCCCCCACTTGTCTGCTCCCTCTGCCACAGTCACCCTCCTACCTCCTGGCCACCACCCCCCTGCTGCTGCCAGAGCTCTGCTGGGATCCCTTCCCACCCGTCCTAGTCCCCCTCTTGCTTTTGGGGGTCCTTTCCTCTCTCTCTGTCTCTGGTTGTCTCACACCAAAAGCCCCAGCACTTCCCAAGTTGCCTCCTTCCCGGTACCCCAATGTCACGGTTCCTCTGCCTTCTGTCTCTCAAAGCATCCTTTGAGCTCCCCAATTTACCCACTTCCTAGATGGGACAGGATCGTCTGACCTGTAAACATTTTCCTTCCGTTCCAAGTCTCTCCAGACCTCAGAGACCTTGAGCTTCTTCCTAGGAAGCTCTACCACTTAGGTTTCCTCCCTGCTCCAACAAAACTGATGCTAAGACTGAGCTCTTGATGCCACCAAGGCATCCAAAGCCTTTGAGCACCCACTGCTTGGGAAGGGACAAAAGCACTGTCATGGCTGGGCAGTGGGTCCTGGCCGTGGTGGGGGCCAGCCCAGGAGATTTGCTCACCACACCATCATGAAACACTTCTCTCAGCCCTCTCCCAGGGCTATGTGCACTCTGAGCATCAGACCTGGCAATGGAGCAGCATCACAGAGGGCAAGGATATGAGTGGATAAGCACTTTGATGGCTCCTCTGCGGATGGGGTGGAAGGGTCCCAACAAGTAGAGGGCAGGGGTTGCTGAAAAACGGAAAATGGACTTCCCTTTGTTGAGGACTATGAACGTCTGTGGAGAAAAGAGAAGGGAGATGTGTTAGCCCTTCGACACACCCCCAAAACACCCACGGATCGAGTGCTGCTGTTAGAGGTGAGACCTCTGTGTGTGCTTTGGATCTTCAAAGACTGGGGACTTTGCCAAGCAACAGATGCTCTGCTTTGGAGGAGAAGCAACCCCAGCAATCTGGGGCTGTGGCTGACCAAGACAGACAAAGATGAGGCCCTGGGGCACGGAGGAAAGAAGGAGGGGTCTATGCTTTGGTCTTTTCCTTGAGACTTGCATCTAATGCCAAGTTCTACGCACAGGCTAAGCTCTGCTCCTCACCTTCTTATCCTTGTAGAAAGGGTCCAAGTCCTCCAGGGGCGTTCCAATGAGCTCCAGTGGTGGGTCACCATAGATGAGGGGCAGGTTCTTGCCAGCTTCCAGGTCACTGCTGGGCTTGAGCTCCTCTTCCTCAGGCAGCTCCACTTGCTGACGCTTTACCTTGAGAGCCTCTGCCTCGGCGATGCGCTGCTCGATGGCAGCCAGCGAGGCGGGGGTGAAGGGGCGGAGGTTCTCGGGGCCCGGGATGTGCGGCAGGCCGGCCATCCTCTCATTCTGCTCCCGGGACGCCTGCGCCCAGCCTGCTGGGGAGAGGGGTGCTGAGAAGGCAGTGCCAGCTGGTGCCGTTCGGGGCATTTTTGCTCAGCCCTCCATGGCAGGATCTCGGTCGGTTTTGGCAAATGGCTTTATTGCAGAAATATTGAACTTGCAAGAAAGGTTATCATGCACGAATCGCTAGCAGATGGAGCGCCCCGTGTGCCCCTTCTCCTCCCAGACCCCCACTCAACCTCCAAGCAAAAATCGCCATCGCGTTGGGCTTCCCCCAGGGCATCGCATGAGCTGGGCGGCCGGTGACCCTGGCACCAGCTGGCTGTTGTTAGATATGCCATTTCACAACCTCGGCAGGGTTGTTCAACAAAACAACACAAAACAAAACAACACAACACAACACAACACAAAACAAAAAACACCTCCAGCATCAGCGGCACCGCTCCAGCCGTCTCCCCTTTGCAATATGCTGCAAGGCATCGGCAGATTTCCTCCCGCACCTTGCGCGAGCAGCGCGCGGTGCTCAAAGCAAGAGGTTCCTCAGCCGGAGGAGCTCGGTCCTGCAGGGTCAGCGGCCGTTTCGCAGCACCCGTCCACGGAAACGCGAGGCACCTGCAGTGCTGGATGGCTCTGCTCCCGAGAGGAAGGGGTCAAAGTCCTATCTTGAGCCAAAAAGCAAGGCAATAATGGCACTTTCTAATGTTGCAGTGATCGGGATGACTCCCCAGACAGGAATAGGATGGGCCATCTGGGAGAGATAAGGGCGGCTCCACTGAGCAGCAGCGCAACAAAAAGGGTTGGAGGGAGCGAAGTGGGGAAGAGACGGGTGGTCGCACCCATAGGAACAGGCTGGCATGTCCCGAGCGAGACCAAAACACCTGCCAAAGGCTTCCTAGGCACCAGAAAAGTTCTTGCTTTAAGCCACCTTGCCTCGGTATCTATTTGGCACATAAACACCAGTTTGTGTGAGAGATGAGCCCGAAATACAATACACGATAACACTCGATCCCGCTTTGCAGGGATACCGGGATAGGTGCACCTCTGTACCTCACCCTCCCCAAAATGAGTGTCCCACCGGCAATCGGTGGCCTGAGGGTTGACTATTCCGTGTACCAATGCTTTCTGCAATGCTGCTGAGAACCTGCCCCCAAAAAAGCTTTAGGATCAATGCTCCTCACAGTCCCAACCCCAGACCTGCCATGCTTAAAGCTGAGAGCTGGAAACCTTTGTAATTAAGAAGAACTGGACATCGATAGCCCTGACGGGAAGAGAGGCTCTGGGTGCATAACGGTATCGACATGTTCCTATGGTGATTATAAACCCAAGTGATAAAAGCGATGGCGAAGGGCGGTATTGATTTTAGGCAGCACAGGATAACCGCGTTTTAGAAAGCACCGCACTCCCTCGCTATCGCTGCCGAACTGGATCGCGGCGTGCAAAGCGGGTTTCCTTCCGCCGAGGGCAGGCAACCCCCAGAGCAGCACAGCGTTATGAGGGTGTTACTGCTCACCCCCCACCACATCCAGCCCCAGGGGTTCCGCAGGGACCGGTCCCTGGCTCAGCAGCTCTTGGGCAAAGGCCACCTTCACCACAGTGTTTAAGCAGCCCCTTCGTGGCTCCAGCACCAGGGCTTCGATGCACGTTCGAAGTGAGGGGATGGGAGCAACTTTCTGACTTTTGGAACAGGGCAACCTTTAAAAGAAAAAAAAATCACGTAGCAAGAGCACCAAGCTTTGTATTTAAACCCGTTTTAGAGGAGGGAGAGTTTTGTCCTTGCTGAATGGGGTTATCTAATAAGATAAACCGAGTCACATCACTGCAGCGGGGAGTCCGGCACTGCCCACAGCCCAGCTTCAGGGGCCCGAGCCGCTGCGAAACGGGAACCTGGAGCCGTGATCCCAGAGGGACACGGCCCCATCTCACCGGACCCCAACGGTGGGACCTCAAAGCAAGCAAAGAGGGGACTTTCGCCACCACACAGCTCCGCGAGGGGACGGTGCCCCCGGCAGCGGGTCAGCGCGGCACCGGTGCTTCTTCTCATCCCAAGTTATTCTGGGTTTACACCCGTTTCACACTCTACTTGAGAAGCTCTGGAAACCTGCCCTTGGCCTTCCCTTGGTACCAGCGGCCTCGAAGCTCAAGCCAAAAGCACGGGGCCGTGTCTGGCTCTATCGCCGAGTCCCACGGGGGATGCGCTGGTGCGTGCTCAGGCAGGACCCACAGCCCCCCTTTGGGGACCGTGTCCTGGGGGCTCCGAGG